ATAATATTAGCAGATATGATAAAAAGTGATAATATTCTTGATGCTTTAAGCTCTCGAAGTGGGTGAACATTATTTTCTAATAGCTAAAGAGCTAGGTATTATGTCCTCTGAGAATGAACACTGTATTGAGTCTACATCTCTACCCTTGTCTGATGTTTCTTTGAGTTTTTCTGCAATTCAGAAAGAATTCCCAGAAGATGGCTGCCACTTTAAGAAAATATTAAGTCCTGGGAGACTGAACATCTTTGGGCATCATTTGCTATTCAGGGGTGTCAGTGGTATGGAGTTGGATTAAATCCTTCATGACATGAAGGATTAAAGCATAGACAAGGAAGCAGAGCTCCTTTTTTAAAAAAATCAAAGTCCAGATTTAGTGAAAAGAGGTCACAATCAGAGAACTGAAGGTGTAAAGGACAGAGCTGAGGGAGCTTCCACTCTGAGATGGGGTCATCTAAGCACGATGTGGGGATGATTCACAAAAATGACTGAAGATCTGTGGAAGATGCTTGGATGAACTGTGTGAGATTGAATTAGTCAGGAAGAGATAAATAAAAGGATTGTTGAGAAACAGGGACGGCATTGCTTAGGTCAGTTATCTCGAGAGTATAACAGATTTAATTGGAAATGTATGAATTTGTTATAGCCTGGAATTAAAAGTACACAGCTATTCATTTGAGGTCAAACTGGACATGAAAATTAGCAAGTCCTGATGCAGCTCAAGATAACAGGAAATTTTGTGGATAACTATGTTTCCTGTAGACATGGGGAAGGACAGACGAGGGTTTGTGGACCATGAGAACAGGGAAGGTTGAGAAAGTTTCTCCTTAAGAACCAAGGGTGGCTTCTGTGCATCCCATGTGACAGAGATTGAAGGTTGAACAGTGCTCACCATTGGATGGCACATTGCTCACAGCAATGGAACAGTTGTTACAGAGACTGAAACCTAGAGCACATCTACTTTGGCAGTAGATAATGGTGGGATGACATGAAGGATACCAGAATCCATCTGGAACAAAGGAACTAATGAGTGGGATAAAATAGGTGGGAAGAAAGACCACAAGGCAGATCCTGGGAGGGTGGGGATGGGTAGTGATCTGTGCTTAATGAACTGAAAAGGATAATGAGCAAGAGAAGACAGATTTAGAACGTGAAGAGGAGAAACACTCAGAGAGGTAGTGATGAGACCTAAGAATTATTAGAACTTTTCCACTTAGCCTTATGGTGAATTAAAGGATTAGGCTTCTGCTGCAGTGGTGAGTGCTACTTGGAAGATCCAGAGGCAGTTAATCTGAGCAGGTAAAGGAATGGGGGAAAAATGACTTCAGGATGCAGAAAAGTCACTAATGGAATTGAAATTCTAAAAGATGCGTGAAAATGCTTAGGATAATAGTTCTTAATCTTGACTGTATAATTAAATAATTCAGGAAGCATTAGGAAAAACCTCTAGACCCCAGACTAGTTACATCAGAGCCTTTGCAGTGGGACTGTGGAACAAATATTTTCCAACATGCTGAGATAAGGAACTGCTGACTTAGGCAGAGCTGAGACAGGAATGAGGAAAGCCTTGATCAGGAATGAGGGACTTGGGAGAGGTGATGCAAAAAAGGACTCATAGGTAAGGGTGGTGAGAGAAAAAAGGAGTATGGGAGAGAGAATGGCAGCCAGCATCAGCAAGCAGGATGCCAAGAAGGTAGACTTTTGGTATTGAAGGGCTTTTGGGGCTAATGAGCCCCAAGGATCGAATTCAAGTGTGGGTGAGATGGTGCTGATGTGACTGTGCTAGTTGTCTTTTTGGTATGTTGGATATACCATTTACTGATTACTAGGATTTTGGTATTTCTGCATTATTAAAAAGCCATGAGGTGCAAGAAATCCTCATCCATTGTTCATATTTGTTTCAGGCTAAGGGCTGGATTCCCTCCCAGATATTGAAAATTTATAAATGTCTATTTGGAAAGCAGTGGCCAAAATACAAGCTGCTCTTGGGTTGTTTTCACTTCTGAAAGCTGTTCACTGGTCTTTCTCAGTGTTGACCATTTTCATCTCTGTCTTGCTAATTAGCATAATCAAAAGTATTTTTAAAAAATATTTCACTTTTATATAAATCTGTGTGTCTCTATTGGGAAGATAGGTCAAGAGTTCCTCAGTGTAACTGTGTGACTATAAACTATGTACATCAAACATCTCAGATACCCTGTAGATCTTCTGTGGTATGTTTTTTGGAATGATTTTCTTGGAACTGTTCAAAAGATTTGCCATAATTAGACCCCATGACTCCTCTATGAACATAGTTTCCCCTAAGAAGAATTTAAGTCTGGAATGTTTTCTATCCTGACAGTGCCTTAAAAGTGTCACATCTGCAAGGGGCATAAAAGAAATAACTTGAAGTTTTACACTAAAGCTGTATGCTCACATCATTTAGTCCACATCAGAAAATCCTACAGACCCGATGACCAAAAATATATTCAGTGACCAATAAGGTCTTATCCCCTCCCTTGGGGACCATGCTGATCAAATCTACCATGAGGAGTGGGTATTGCAAATGACTCCTCACTTGTCTCTTTGTTTCTATTTTGTCCCTTACAACCTACTTTCTTGGGCCTGGTTCCCAGGGTCCCCAAACTGTGACACTCAGATTTCATGACCCAGAACTACTCATTGGATGGAAATTCTAAAAGGAAATACCCTGATAGTAAAAACCATTTCTTCTTCTGACTTCTTTCATTTTTCTCCCAATTATCTTCCTGTTCTGAGTGCACATTTTCTGTCAGCTCCTTTGTCTCCTCCTTTGGGATGGCAGGCTCTGCTTGGTCCCTGTCATGAAGGACCTGACTCTCTAAGCAACTCATTGTGACAACCTAATTGCAGTCAGCTGCCTGGGCAAAAGCCTGCTCTCTGCACTTCATAGCTGTATGACTTAGAGGCACTTACTTAAACTTTCTGTGCCTTGGATTGCATGTCTGTCAAGTGGGGATGATGATACTTTATAGGGTTATCATGATGCCTAAGTTAATATGAAACTTTTAGAATTTTTCTAGTACATAGGATGTTCTTAGTAGTATTTATGTTCTCATTTGTTCTCTTTGGATATTACCCTGACCACCTTGGATGACAAATATGAGCACGATATTGTTGGTTCCTATGTATCTACCTCCAGATCTGCTTAGAGAGCCATACCTGTATTTCTTTTTAAAAACATTAACGTATGTTTTAAATTGGCACATGATAAGTATAAAAGTTTATGTGGTACAATATGATGTCAGGCACAAAAAAACCAAATGCTGCATGACCTCACACACATAAGGAATCTAAAGAAGTTGAACTCATAGGAACAGAGCATGGAAGAGTGATTACCAGAAACTGGGGAGAGTAGGGGAAGAGGGACAGAAAGGGAATGTTAACAGGTACAAAGCAACACGTATATTTCTAATTGTCCCTTGGGTATCTTTGGATGTTCAATTTATACCTCTAATTCAGTATTCCAAAAACAAAAACACTGTTATAGGTTATAGGCTGTTTGTGTCCGTCAAGGTTCATTCTTTGTAATGCTAAACCCTGATGTGATGGTATTAAGATGTGGGGCCTTTGGGAGGTCATTAGGCCATGGGGAGGGGGTTCTCGTGAATGGGATAAGTACCCTTATTAAAAAGTCCCCATCTCTCTACCATGTGAGAAGTGGGCAGTGTGCAACCTGGAAGAGAGCCCTCACCAGAGTCTAACGATGCTGGGCTTCTATCACCCCAGAACTGTTGAGAAAGAACTGACTGCTGCATAAGCCACTCAGTCTGTGATAGTAGTCTGAAAGAACCAAGGGAGGCTTGGTTATAGTACCTCAATTTGCTACTGTTGGTTAGAGACAGAAGTTTGAGCTTCTGCCCCACCACTGAGCGTTAGTCATCAGGCACAGTGAAGGCAACTTGACCAGGGCCTTTTATATCTGTTCCCTTCATTTCACTCTTTTGCTGTCATCCAAGCTCTACCACACTCTCCTTACTAACATGACTCTTTCCACTGAAGTCAGACTAACATTTCTAATGTGTATTTCCAATCATGTCTTTCTTATGGTTAAAACTGTCCATTCTCCCTTAACTCAACAGACTGAATTTCAACTCCTCCCTCTGACAGTCAAGGTTCATTTCAATAGTAGGAACCTGCCACTCTAGGCTTACTGGAATAGAAGGATCATTTATTATTCTCTTCTGCAAGTCTTTATGTGGTTTCTTCCAACTATAAATCTTGAATTGTTTCCCCATATTCCTGGTCAAAACTTTACCTTCTGTTATGGCCAATCTCAATGTTAGCTTCACTTCAGACTTCTTCAAAATAATAAGCTGCTTCCCTTCCGGAACCCCACAGTACTTAGCATCTCAGCTGTGGCATTTATCACACTCTGACTTATCTCCTTATCTTTCACATACTTCTTTTATTCCTCCTTCTAGATCATAACTTCTTCAAAGGCACTTACTACATCCCTTAAAGCTTCAAATGGGATAAAATGAATGGCAATAATCACACCAAGAATTAAGCTCATTTATTCTGCAAAGCAGCAGTCTGTTGTCAAATGCTAACCCTCTCCCTCACAGCCCTCATAAAAAGAATGGGAAAGCATATAAATGAAGCAGCACACAAGAGGAACATATAGTGTGAGCAATTACGCCAATTTCTTTTATAGGAAGAACACAGCTGAGATAAACATGGAAGCAGATTATTTACCATCCACTGTCTTGTTGCCAAATTCTTCTACATTTTTCATTAAAAGAAATCAAGGAAGATAAACAAAAGTAGCCCTTGGGAAGAATTAGCATAAAAAGCACAACTCATATATCAGCATGGCCTCAGAGATATGCCTACATTTTTTAAACAGTATTCTTCAGGGCCAAACGCACGTGTTCACATACCTGAGTACACATGTACAGACCCATGTCCAGATGAGCACAGCTCCACCAAACCTTGGTTTTCAAGTGAAGGTGCAGGAGATAGGTCAGGAGGAAGCCTCTTACCTTCAGGGCATCCTGTGTGTCATCCAGACAGTAGACCCGGATGCTGTACTCCAGGGAGGAGCAGCAGAGGGGCCCGAAGATGGCCAGCTTCAGGCGCTTGGCAGCTGCTTTGGTGACAGAATGACCAACCAGGGCATAGGTGCTGAGGTTCTCTGTGAGGATGTGGCAGGCGTCTGCGTCCAGCTGAATGTAGCAGGGGGTAGTGAAGTTTTCCTCTCCAACCACCACCACCTCCTGGGATACAAGAGGGAAGAGGCATGGTTAAGCCACCATGGGCACATGCTGGCCACCACAGAAGGTGGTCAGTAGAGCAGGCCCTGTTTCTTCATCTGAGTTCTGGTTGTTCTTTTTCCTGCTCTTCTTACTTTGTCAGGCTTAATGATACCTCTATTTCCATTCTCAGCACCATTTTCCCGTCTACCATTGCTTACATACTTACAATGTTCTTTTGTTAGAAGTCTTTTGGTCTTCTGAGAATTACATGAAAATCCAAAGATAGTCATAAATTATCCTTTTAATGTCAGTAATCCTGAGCTTATTATCTGTTTCTGAGTTTTAATCTTTAAGTTTCTTATTTAATCTGAAACTATGATTTTATCACAATGTCAGTTTTTCCCTAAAATCTACATTTTGAAAAGAATTAGAGAATTTAAGGTATTTTGCAATGCCACTCTACTGTGTTCTTCCAAAGCACATCTGATAGTTACTTCTCAGAGCACAACACTGCTTTTCATAAATAATCTTGGTTGCGATACTCTATGGAAGCAAGGTATGGCAAACTCTGTGTCTTTAAACAATTTTCTCTACTGTTTTTTCCATGCAATCCATTAAATAGTCTACTTTTGCAATTTATCTATATGACTAAAAAAAAAAGAATAAAAGACACTGAAAGACCAAGCATGGGATCCATAAACCCAGGTTGGAATTCCAAATGATCCTTAAGGAAGCAGGTAAAGAAATACGTGACACAGTTAGGGTGGGAGACAATAAGGAGTGGTGGAGACTGATGAAGCAGACCACATGCTGTCCAAAGAGCTGGGTTTGCACTCAGTCCAGCCTGCAGTGCTGTGCAGGATTCCAGGCCCAGTGCAGAAGAGCCATGAATTTCCCTAAAGAAGCTGGCAGATCAGATTTTTATGCAAAATATTTCAACTTTAAGTTAATTCAAATTTTAAAAAATTGATGTGGGAGAAATAAAACACATGCATGAGTATGGTTCAGTTTATTAGGCTATTTGATCTCTGCAGGGGGAGGAGCCATTTTTACTTTGCTTCTCACTGTATCCCAGTGGGCCTGGATCATGGTGCGTGCCTAACAACCATTTTGGGGAAAAAAATGAATGAATGAATGTGTTATCATAAATTTAGTCTCCTGACTGGGCAAAGATATGAGGGAGGTCACTCCAGTGGTAGTTTACCAGTGAGGCCTCAAGATACCACTTGAGATGTAATAAGTGTTGTAGTTAATCTAGATCTCAGAAGGAAGCTCAAACTGAAAAGTAAGAGGAAAAAGAAGTCAAGCACCACAAGACACATGGAGAGAAGCTGCTTTCTCCAGAAAGACAGACAGATACCTTATACCACCTAGTGACAGAATAGCACACAGTGTGTCCTAGAGGGTGTGGTCAAGAATGGGATGCCATGGCCCAAACAATCCTGACAAGAGTTTGCATGAGGGCTGTCTGTCCCTTTTATTCTCTTTAAGTCTTTAGTTTATTCCTATGACTTTTGTTATTACTCAACCCCAGAAATGAGTAGGTATTATGTAGACAATCTTGCAAGCACTTTAGAATAATTTTTAGCTAAATAGTTTAATGCTTAAATGAAATGAAAGTTTGATGTGGTTCAGTCTGGTGTTAACTCTGCTTAAAGGACATCCCTAGTCTCCATCCTGGAGCTCTGGCAAAGTGTGATCCCCTCACGTGACCAAGAGTAGTATTTTTCTATAGAAAGGAAAATTCCAGTCAATCCCAGGATGTCAGCTACTCTGCTAACTCTTATGCTTTTCTAAAATATCAGGGGATTAAATCTTCATGTATACCTTTAAATTTTACTTTCATAAAAGAAAAAAGTAATGACAAATAAATGTCATGTACTTTGTAAGTTGTAACTTCATAGTTTACATATATAAATTTTTATAAAAATAGAAATTTATATTATACTCTTTATAATTATTTGATATTGTTTGATGAATATGTTCCTGAGGTATAGGTGTTAAGTGAAGACTTCTGGTGCAAGGAACAGGCATTGTCCTTAAGAATTTATGATACCAGTAGCCACAGAAAGACAAGATGTCATAGTTTTCCTCATTCTAGTGAACTGCTTTTTGTTTTCTCAGGTTATGTTCACAAGAACTATATCCAAAGAACTTGTCTGCAAGTGCCTAACATTTTGTAACCTATGTGCAATGTTTCTCTACCTACCATTAAAAATATAAGGATATATATGCATATATACATAAATATAAGACATACATATCTGTGTATATATTCCTCTCCAAGATATAGCATCTGTAGTCCAAAAGGATTTGTCTAAAACTTTTGAGTATCCTTTCTGTATCAATCAGCTAATACTTGACCATCCTTTTTCTTGTGCTTATTAATCAGAAGGTAAAGTACTCATGACCTACTTTGTCACTCATATGAGTGTGAGCTATAATTTCACCCATATTTGACTTCAGAAATAAAGGCTTCTCAGAGTTGCTCCCACTGATCTGCATGGATTCCATCTTTATCTTCACAGAAGCTCACTCACTTCCCACTGTCCCTGTGCTGCCTGGTTCTTGAGCTGTATCTTCCAGTCTTCAGTGTTGGGATCTGCACAGTGATGCAGTGTGAGGATGATGGGGCGGGTTAGCAGGGCTCCCGGAGGCCCACAGCTCACCACAGGGGTCAACAGTGTCTGAGACTCTTCCATTGGTGGCCTGGTGGGAGAGCAGAGGCTTGCATCAGTGACATTTCCATAGTATTTATGTACTAGGAACTCATTGAGAACTGAGATCTAAAGTTGTACAAACAGTTCCAAACGTTTTCTCTTACCATTTTTTTGGAGGGGGGGAGGGAGAAGGGCAGGGAGGACAGTAAGGCAGAAATAAATGAGAAGCATATTTTTTAGCCCAAGATTTTGATTTTGCAAGACTAGAGGTCTTTATGATAACAGGGAATTTTACAGCATCTCTTTGATCCCCTTCCCTCAGAAACAGGTCTGCCTTTAGTAGCTTCCTCTGAATTCATGTACCAATACTTTCAGGATAGAATGAGAAAGAACAGTCCTTATGAAGTTACATAAGCAGCTTTGCTGATAATACTTGCCATTGGTCTCACAGGGCTTTAAATACTTTTGTGTTTTTAGGACCTAACTTGAAAAACACTTCAAAAACATCACTTCAGAATGAGGACACCCAAGAGCTAAACTTAGTCCAAATGACTTTCAGGAATAATTCAGGTTAGTATAGCAGATTCATTCTTTCAAATATGACCAGAAAGAATATAGAACTGCACTTCTATAGCAAGTTAAAATGATATCTCTTTACTTATATAGTTTATATTCAGAGAATTTGGGCAGAAAGAACCTCAAAGATTCAAATTCTTTATTTTCTTATTTTTTAAAAAAACTGTCTCAGTTTTTTTTCCCCTAACAAGATGGCAAACAATATGTAAATGGATCAATTAATCCAGCTTATCAATTGCTATGTGAGAAAGTCATTCCAAAAGTGTTGAGTGAGTGCATTACCCAAAGTCTCAGAACTCACAACAGCTGGATAGTGCTAGGACCAAAATACATGCCTTCTCAAAAACACTCAAGCTGCCTGTCACAATAGCATTGCTTTAGAATTCAGGGACCCACAGAATTTTAGAAGGTCCCTCAAGGGTCACATAAAACCACCTTCCATATAGCCCAAGAGCCTTGTGACAACATGGATGACATGTGGTTACTCTTAGAAACAGCCACAGTTATAATCAATTGCTACCAAAACGTTACTTCATGTATCAATTTAAATTTATGAAATATCCTTAGCAAGGATTAACACAATCTGCCTTATTTAAAATTCTCTCCACCCATCTTTGACCAGCTTTCCAGCCCATTTTATTTCATGTATTTGGAGATTGTCACGATAGCTCTAAAATCTTCTTTATAATAGACCAAACTGCCTCAGTATTTTTAACAAGTGCTGAAAAATCATGGTTTCCAGATCTTTTCCTATATTTATTTCTTCATTTTCATATGAAAGTTCACCAGTGTTTCAGTGTCCCCATTCAATTGACTGTACTGAAATGAACCTAAAACTCAAGTAGACTGTGTGGGAACTACTATTTTCTTTTGTTTGGAATGTGTACTTATATTCATGCCTCGCAAAACCGTTCCTTAGATTATAATAAATAGTATTTAGTCGGCTCTAGTTACAGGGGATGATGGAGAGAGTATGGTTAAATATCTCCTTTATAAAATGAAGCACTGAAGTCCCAAGAAAGATCAGCAATTTGTTAAAGCCAATCATTCTAAGTCACGAAAGGCTCTTAGACTAATCTAAAGAGTTTGGTGTTTGTACTGATGGCTTTTGAACCTAGGTACAGACTTTATATTTAGCTTTTTCATTTTTACCTTAATAGATTCAGGGTAAATTTTTAATGCTGTGTCTTTCCTTCAAATACTGGTTATCTCCTACAGTCTTTAATCCTCCATGCATCCAATATACCTGCCATTTATGTGCTCATTACCGTCACTGATAAAATTGTGACACAAATTAGGCAGGGAAAGAGACTTTTTCAAGGACACTTGAAACCTCTCTTCCACCTAACATCAATACTTTTGAGTTATTTAGTTCAACCAAATATAAATATAAATCCATTAAAGTGTACATTGTCTAGTTGACATCCTTCTACCTTATTCATATGGATATTAAAAGGTGCATATTAAATTATAATTGCAATGGCCAATTGAAATTGATTTTTCTCTAGTCTTTATCTATAATTTAAATGTTATTTATCATATTATCTAGAAGTGAGTTTATATCTATGACTTACCCTCAGTGAATGATGGCAGCTATTATGAGTTTTAACTTTGTTGAAGACAGTTCTCCATGGGTTTCTCATGTTACTGTATGTTCTTGACTGTCTTTTTCAAGGATGCCTGCATTGTAGTTGCTTTGGAAGATAAAAATAGTGTCCACCTCTGGGACAAATGGCAGGCAGGGCTACTTCCCATTATAAAAGACTCAGGTTCCCTAAACTCAGAGGTTCTTTACTGAAATACAACTATAAGTATGTAGATGTTATCTGACCCTCTTTGTGTCACCCTTTGGGAACCTCAGCTCAAGACATCAGCAGAAAATGATACTCTGGATACTGCTATTGTTGTGACTAATAAACTGTACTTTGTCTCTGATGCAAAAGTCTGTATTTTCTATAGCAGCCACAAAACTATGGTAGCTAACCTGGCAGCTCTCAAGCAAAGTCTAATCTTTGAGCTTTCCTGACAATTTTTATCCCCTGTAAAAATTCATTAAAATTTAGTAGTTATTATCCTTAATAACCCTTGGCTATCATGGCTTCCTCTCTTGCTTTAAATTGCACTAGGAGCTCACCAATGGATGTCTTTTCTTTCCTCCTATTTAGAAACTCCAAACAAGATTCACTGATTTTTAGTCTTTCAATATCATTTCTGTTTCCCTGAATAGTAACAGTTTCCTTTATTAAATCTAAAGTTTCTAAGCACTCAGAAATGTACTTACATTTGGAATTAGAAGATTATCGGCAGCAGCTTGAGACTTCACCACTATCCCCTTTACCAGTTTGGTTTTCATTTTCCCTTAACCCAGTTTATCTTCCTCCCTCCCATTGAAATTCACTCTCTGACAACGTGCATGAAGTTTTGCTTTCATTGTATCATAGTTAATATTACACTATCTGCTTTCAGCAGTAACTTTATTGCTTAATTCTACTTTTCCTGCCAGGACAGAGGAAAAAAAACCCAAAATAAAACTACAAATCAAAAACACTACAACAGTTGAATTTTCTTGAGTACTACTCTTACCTTTTAGTTTCAAGAATACCTTGAGAAGTGAGCCTTAAACTTTTACGAAAGGAGACTAAAGTGGAATCTATTTCAAGTGGCCCTTACAATATAGTTGGGGATTGAAACATCTGTTTCTCAGTCTGTCATTAGCAGCTGGTGCTTGAAGGCAGGAAGGAGGTCCTTTCCTCATTGAGTTGGAACAGAAGGGAGAAGAGGACCCCCTGCTGGGTTGGGGAACTGTCAGACGTGTACTTCCAAGCACACCCCTGGCATGCAATATTGATGGGCACCATCTTAGAGGAGGGCTAGCAAGGGAAGGGGGAGGAAGGAAAGGCAATGGGTGTCAAAAGAATTTATTAACTCAGTGAAGTGCAAGAATGTAATGAATAGGGAAGTGGTGAAGTGGAATTGATAACAGAGGATGAAAAACAGAGAAGAAATAATAAAAAATCTCTTACATGCTTTCAAGATGAAAGTAGTATTGAAACTGGAAACATTTCAGAGCACATAAGGAAGGAGTGATTTAGGCAGGATTTAACTATGTGAAACCAAAGGTCAGAGTGTCTAAATTCACATTTCATTTATTTATACAAAGGGAGGATATTAAAAATTCATAAAACAAAATAGTAGAAAATAAATGTAAATCCCATTCATGTTTTTGCAGAGAAGGGCTTCACTTCTTCATGCCTCCTGTGCTATCACACTGTTGCTATTTAAGCAAACAGTCTGGACATATTAATTGCAGATGATACAGAAACAAACACAGTACAAAAATTAGCTGAGAAACAGCAATTAAGAAGAAATCCAGCAATGAACAATGATTAAAATTTTAAAGATTTTTGGAAGTCTTAAAGGATAGTACAGTAAATGCTGGATGGGTTCTAAGATAGAACTCACAAGGAGGAGTTTCTTTCCTATCAGAGAGATTTTTTTTTTTTCATTCTTTGGTTGCTGTCATCAGTGTGGAGAACTTCTACATAAAAGCACATAATTTACAAAACTTCCTTGTAAGTAATAGCATTTGCTGCTCATGGCATACCTGTAAGGTAAAATTTTTTTATTACCTTTTTTCCAGGGAGGAAACTGAAATCTAGAGACATTAACACACTTGCCTAAGGATGAAATCTAGCACAGCTAGATTCAAACACAAGTCCTTTAGTTTCTTTCACATGGTGGTATATTTTGGCTTGCTTATAATGGGTTTAGGGCCTTCTTGTATGTTTTGCTAGAGCAAAACTCTTTGGAAATATCTGTCTCCATCGGCCATGTGAATGTGAATGCATGTGTCTTGTCAGGTCCCTCAGGATGACAATCCCACGCTAGGCTCAGCTGCCTTTTAAAGCACACGCCTGTCCACACAACTGGCAACTTGACGTATTTGCACTCTAGGTATCTGACAGGGGATATCCAACTCACTTGCTATCAAAAGCTCAATTGGGCAAAAAAAAAATATTTATAGGAGCACCTCTGAAGGGTGTGCCACCGTTTCTCTAGACAGGTGGAGTCTATCCCTGGATTAAGCCAGAACAACTAAGCACTGAGCCCTTCAGGAATTATTTTATTGAATATAAACTTGAACCTCACACAAAATATTCCATTGAAGAACACTAATAGAAGGAGCCTCTATACTTGTTATTTTGATTTTAAGGATGCTATTCACTACATTAAAAATGTGTTTTTAAAGAGGAATAAAGGAAGAAATAAATGAGCATCTTCTGGGCATAGTTTTTTCCTCATAAGCTTGTGAATCTTGTGACTTAGCATCTTCCCTCCCTTCCTCCCTCCCTCTCTCCCTCTCTTCCTTCCTTCCTTCCACCTCCCTACCTTCTTTCCTTCCTTCCTACAAGATCTCACTATGTAGCCCAGGCTGGCCTTGAACTTGTGATCTTCCTGCCTCCGCCTCCCCAAGTTCTTGGATTATAGGTATACACCACCACACCTGGCCACATTCCTCTTTTTAAAGCTTTGAAATAGTCAATTAATGATCTATTACTGAGAAATGTGCTGGGAATTGTGGCAAATATTTTATATTCTAACTGCTCAATTGACTTTCGTCTTTTATCACATTATTTTCTCAACTTTTTTCATCCACATCTTTAAATTTTCCTCTCTCATTGAAAATAATGTGTTTTAATAAACCACCTGGAAGCCAATTTCTTTATTGGCAGAATTTCAATAAGTCATTGCTGTTTAAAGTTGTGAGAGAATGAGATTTATATATACCTGGATTCCACTGCCTTTACCTTTAGTCTTTTTTATAGCTATTCCATGAAACTGAGGCATTTGGGGCTCCTGAATGAGATAAGAATTTCTATATAAAAAGGAGAACTATCCCTGAGTTTCACTGAAAAATAATGCCAACTGCTATCTTACAGAATTCCAAACAATAAAATGTTAAAATAAACAAAAATGATCTCTGAAATGAATACCTATCTAAGGAATGCTAGCCTCTACTTTACTGTACACTTTCTTACTACTTACATTTTGTATGTCATATATATATATGTGTGTGTATGTAATAGTTTTACTTCACAGTAATTCACACCTTAAACAATTTCTATAGACATTTCACCAATCCCAAAATTCTTAAAGGCTACCAGTATCTTGCAGTTGATAAATCTAATAGTTTTTTTTATTATTCTTCTTTCTCCACATTTTTATTTTAGTATCACCACTGCCAGTCACCTTTCCATCTTGAAGCTCTTTTTGCCTTTGATTTTTGAGATCCTTTTATAACATGGTTGGTTTATTTCTTCAATCCTTTGATGAGTATTCCAAATACTCATCAAGAAACTGCTATATGTTAAGCATGGCAATGAATGCAAACTCTATATCTATCTGCCTTATTCTTACATGTTCTTTTAGACTCTTATCTCATCTGAACCTAAATGGGAATATTTCCCAATGTTCTTTCCCCAGTTCCTTATGCCTCTGCATTTTCTCCCTCAGAAATTCATGCCTTGCCTCAACTTCACTTCAGTGGCTCTAGAAGAAACCACATCCCACTCTTACAGCCTAAGCACATCTGATTTGGGATCTGTGCCTCTGTCCTCCAACTAGTTGGTGCTTCTGCTTCTTGCATTGCTCTCACAGTTTCACAGAGCCCAGGACTTGCATCCTAAATGTATTCTGTATACCTTTCTGCAACACTTCTGGCTACTTGTGTAAGGTACTTTTTCTTCTGCCATTCCTTTTACTTTCTATTCTCTCAGACCCAGGCCTGGCCCATTCCCTTTCTTCTCACACCTAGATTGTCACTGCTGTCCAACCTGGCACCAAGCCTTCTGCAAGAGGCTCTTCCCTCCACCAGATCAATCTTTAAAAAGCACTGCTATTCCTGCATCACTCGGCTGCTCAGAAACCTTCTGTAGCTCCCACAACTTACCAAAAAGAGTTCTATTTACTTTTACATTTGGAATTTCTAAAAGTTTTTTGACCTTTTGATAAAACTGCTAGGCAAAAGGCAGAGAAAAGGAAAAATCCATTTTCAAATGGTCAGTTCAAATTGTTTTCCCATAGGAGGGGACAGTTAGAAAGGTCTCAATTAGACTCATTTTAAAAAAATTGTTGCTAGAAACAAGACAAAAAGGCCCACATCAGTACAGCAGTCACGGACATTGTACTCAGAGGAAGAATGAGGCTTTGTACCCCTGCAGAGCTCTGGAAAGAGTCAGAGGCAGAAATCCTGAGCACAGCCTTGCAGCTCTGCACCCTCTTTGGTCAGAGACAGCTTGTCCCATCTCTGGCTCATCCAAGCTGTGCATCTGCCAGCCCATGGTTTGTGTAAGGCATATTCACTAATGACAAGGCCCCTCTTGTCACAGTCACTGTGCCACATGTGATTAAGTTCACGCCTCCCTTCAGACAATCCACATCTGCAGACGACCAGCTGGATGCTATCGGGAAACACGCCCAGTATGGGGCACAATAAAAATAATCGGAGAGAAGGAAACTGGAGAAAGATGTTTGGAATTTTCCTACAAATGCTTTGAGGTGACACCCACAGCTGATGTCTTCTCCCAGAAAAGTTCTATCTCCTACCATGTGAGGATGGAAAGGGTTTTTAGTGAACAATAGAAGATGTGTCCAAAATGTAGGATAATATGAAGGCAGAGACTTGATCTGCATATTGGTGCTATGCTGGAGAGATGGCACACTAGAAAGTAGAAGAGCTTTGGCATCAGGTGGACCTGGGTTTGAATTATGCCCCTTCAGTTATTAACTATGGTGTCTTGGCTATCTGACTTAATTTCCCTGAGCTTATTTTTTATCTTGAAAACAGTGCTTATCCTAACAGAGTTGCATTGAGGAATATATGAAATTAAAAGCATGCTGAATGAATGGCTATGAAACTTTGTATTATTTCTGCATAATGTAGAAAGTTCTTGCCATTGTGTTTTCACAAGAAAAACTCATCTAAATGACCCCAGACAATGAGTGGTTAGAGGACTTTTCCTTTATCTGAGATGATCATCTTCTTGTGGTGGTTCCTTATTTCATTGGTTTCTGGTGCATATTTTCTTTTTAGATCTTGCATTTTCTCCAGTTTCATTTTTATAAACACAACATCTCTGATGCACACCAAATTCAATAGCCATTTCCTATGCACCTATCTTTAGCTGGTAGGTATAAAAAGGAGTGGGTTACTGTTTCCTTTTCTTTATAGTGAAAAATGGTAGAACCTAAAAGCAGAGGTGTCTGACCATATCAATATTCTGTTCTCTTTCCTCCATCTAAAACGTACCATCACCCTGGTTAGGGTGCTACTAAATGGTGGGAAAGAAGGCTGGAGGAGGTGTGGGAGTACACACACCTTTCAATATCAGCCCATACCTGTTGTAACTTCAGCTGCAATCAGATGAAAAGAAGAGACCATAAGCACCTCATGGTTTCTCAGCAAAAAGCACATGCCAATACTTGTTTCTGTTTAAATGAAATGTCCATGGTGGCAAAGGCCTTGATGGATCAATAGATTTAACCTTGGCATCAGGTGGACCTGGGTTTGAATTCTGCCCCCTCAGTTATTAACTATGATATCTTGGCTATCTGACTTAATTTCCCTGAGCTTATTTTTTATCTTGAAAACAGTGCTTATCCTAACAGTTGCATTGAGGAATATATGAAATTAAAAGTATGCTGAATGAATGGCTGTGAAACTTTGTACTATTTCTGCATTCTGTAGAAGTCAGAATTTTCTTTTATCATCTCAGATAAAGGAAAAGTCAAGAGAAAAATAAAAATAAACAGATCTTGGAGTTTGCTAATCTTTTTTTTCTTGCTACAAAAGAAGGGAACTCTGATGGTCTGTGGACATTGCTTTGCGTTGGGAATGAAAAAAATGAATATTTGATGTAGGTAAATATAAGCCTTTTAGTGACTTTCCATTGCATATATTTAAGGCATGAATAATGCTCAAGAATTTTTTTTATTCTCTCAGTTTGGCTATTGTTTGTGTAGGTGAGAGTACAACCACCTGAGGAAAAAATGTTCTGGGTCAAACAGATTATAAATACCAATATCTCTACCTGAGTGCATAATAAGAGAGCATTTCAGCGACTGAAGACCAAGACTAAAAATGGATGTTTTTCTGAGGATGAGAGCAGGGAAGAGCAAAGGAATAATGTGAGACAATGATAACCTATTTCTGCATCGCCACTCAGGCTTTGTGCTCTGAGCCCAGTACTGAGGGACCACTGCTTTCCCCTTTGGGACAAATAGCAATCACTACATGAATGAGGCTCTCCATTTTAACAAGATCTCTTTTCTTTTTTCTTTTTTTTTAAGATCTCTGCATTCTTCAGAAGTATTAATCATTCAGACTTCTAAGGCAGTATTTAATACATGTATACTTTATGTGGGAACTAATCCAGAAAGACCACCTATGATTTGTCAGAGACTGAACTGAAAACTGAATTTAAAACTTCTACACTCCTTGTGTTATGTTTACTTAAAATAACTTCATCATTATGATTATGACATTCAAATCAGAACCTTTTGATTCAATGTAGTTTTAAACAATCCTAGATCCATTTTGAAGGAGGTTGATAATGCTTAAGCTGGAAGAGTCACAAAAGGAAGAATCTGTGGTAAGTCTTTGCTAGGTTGAAGTAGGAGGGGCAGGTCAAGGGTTAACAGGTGTCCAAACCTTTCTGACCTCTAACCCTACAATGGGAATACACTGCATTCTTGAGCCACAAGAAGTCAAGGTCTTTGTGTCAACCCACACATCTCTCTGGGAAATCTATGGATCACATTTTTGGCCATTTTTTTTCTAGCTAATATGGCCACATTTCCATGAAAAAGATTTCAGATATTCCACCCATATTCAAGATCTGCTAAAGTGTCTGAAGCTTCATAGGTAAAAAGAGGTAAAATTTAATCTGTTATTGGTCTAGAGAAGCATGTATGTCACTCAAGTTAAAAATATGTTGCATTTATTATTTCTATTGTATAGTTCTCCTCCAACTTAGACATTGACAAAGTCAAGTGCATCTGAAAAAGCATATTTACCTCATATTTTCTTTCCTGTGTACAGTCACATACATTTCATAGACTCTCCCTTGGGGAATGGCTCCAGCAGGAATCAGCAAGCTTACTCCTGAATAGCAAAAGAGAAAAGTAGTTGTGTAAGGCCTATGAATCAAAAGGAAACTTTTAGAATGTCTTTGCACCAAGCAAAAGGGAATGAGAAGATTTTGTGACTATGTAGCCCTAAGCCTTCTTTCTTTTCTCTATAAAGACGTGAAAGTATTCACAGTTGGCCTTCTTTCCTTCCTTATTGGCCTGACTTGTTACCACAACTCTCTCTGAACTCTTATGGAATTACTTAAAAGAGTGATGCGACTATTTAAACTCATGTTTTATTTAAGGAATAGACAGATGGTTCCACTGTTATTTTCCTTGTAAAACAAGGGAAAACCAAGAATTGCTATTAAAATTTCAAACAGCTGTAACGATGCATTGTTTCTAATTTTAAAAATGTCCCCATAAGATTCAAAGTCAGGAATGCTAACTTCAGTCATATCAAAAAAAACTTTTTCCCTCTGAAATATCTGGTTAACATCAGTATTATGCCATAACATAATAAGAATTGGTGAAGAACTTATTTTATTAAACATGACTCCAGAGAGCGAATAGCTGTTTGTTAGCAGCTGGTCAGAGCCTTTCTATTTAGTTGCTAGTTGGTACCCTTTAGCATGACGATCGGACTGAGCTGTGTTCTAACCTAATTGTGTCTATACTAATGGTTTGAAAACTTGATTTTGCATCAGGGTCATCTGGAGGGTTTGTTAAAATACTGATTACTGAAACTTACACCAGAGTTTCTGATTCAGAAGGTCTGGGTTGGGTAGGCAATTTTATGGTTCTAACAAGTTGCCAGGTGATGCCCTGATGGTGGGCTGGGACTGACTCAATGAGAACACTGGCTATACTACTGATCATTGCAGAAAGTGATTCAGGATGGTCAGCACTCTAAAGCTGTTTGGGTCTATCATTTTATTCCCTTGAAATGCAGCTTAATTCAGCTCAAAAAAATTATGGAGTATCCTTGTGAGTACAGTGTTTGGCACTGTGTGAATGCCAAGAAGTAAGTAAAAGATAGTGTTCTCCTCCACTAACACATCATTGAATTAGCAAGGAAGCAGAATATGGCAAATGACTATGTTGGGAAGTCTCAAGAATAAAGAATGGAGAGTGAAGGGGGAGGAGTTGTTCAAAGGCCTTTGCATGGCTGGCTGGAGAAGCTGAGTCATAGCCTTCTTGAGAAGAGAAGTGTCCTGAGAGCTGTGGTGTTGTGGGAAGAGGAATGTGGCACTAATTATGAATGTTTGTGGAGGGCACAGTGTGGGAGCAGGAAGACTGCACATGAGACTACCAAGACTTAGCATTTTTTAATCAATGGAAATCATAAAATGTAACTTTATCTTTGTTTTGGGATGAAAAGAATAGTTGCAAAGTAAAAAGATTAATTCCTAACACATAGCAGGTAACTAGTGTTAGTCTATTAAATGAAATAATGTATGTTGATCACGCTTGCCTTATACATAGTAAGTATTCAAAACATACTAGTTCACTCCTCTCTACTTGAAGAAGACTTAATAATAAATTTCAGGTATAGAAATGGAAAGGAAAAGCAGATTTTAATGAGTATCATGGGAAAAGGACTGTTTTAAGAATAATTATAAGGTTTAAACAATGGGAAAACAATAGAGAATGTTTTTGATGGATTATTACAAAGAAAGAGCATGATTTTAAAAAGCATACAAATAGTGTGAGGATGAGAAAAAAGTGAAAACATTTTATATAAAATGTGATCTCAGGTATGTAAAATGTATAGCACAAAGAAAAATGATATTCTATTCAATACTCAAATTTTATTAAATTATCTTTTTAAAGGTATGTGATAAAAAGTTACCAAATCATTGAAATGGGGATATGAACAAGAAGAATCAAAGACAGTTTCATATTTGGAAACTAGAGACCCATGAGGCTGTATATTGCTTGACTACATATATGTCATATTTTTTTATGTGACATTAACACACTAGGACAATAAAGTTGCTTTGCATTACTGTATTTAATGAGTCACGGTCTTGTCTGGGGAGTTAAGTTATATTCGGAGAGGAAGCCATTAGCTCTCTGACTCAAGATTCCACACTATTACTACTGCTGATTAATGATTCCCAGTCTTCAACATTATCAGTCACTAAGTTAAATTCGCCAAGGAAGACCATAATAAGACTTTGTCTCTAGATGCAGATAAACTATGTAATAAGAAGTGAAAGAACAGATGATTTGGGGATCTGTAGCTTTAGTAAGGAGTCTAAATTTTACTTGGAGTACAATATTTCCTGCTTCTACACCGTCATGTTCCCCATTATCTATTTATGAATACAGAATTAGAACAATAATACTGTACTAACAATCAGCCTAGTTAAAATCAGGAATCAAGACATCATGGAAAACATTCCTGTGCAAGCAATGAACTATTTTCTGCCAAATAATTACATAATAAAAAACCCTAAAACTAAACAATACTACAAAAGGACACCTGGTGAAGCTGAGATTATAGATGCATACATCAGAGGTTGGAGTGAGTGCCTTATAAGTATTTTAGGGTTTTAGACTGTAGTTTAGAGTTAAGCTAATAAATGAAGACTCAGTGTTTATTATGATGTTTCTAGTCATCTAAAATTAGTATTCTGAAGTATTGCTTCCTTTATTGAATTGGCATTGAACCAACTGATATGTTTTCTAATTAATTCATCCTTTTAAAGGATAGTAACAACAGTGAGGGATTCTGGCCTGATGTTGCCTTCTGAACTGCTATTAAAAGAAGGTTGATGACAGTTTTGAATTATACCTCAGCAGAAATTTGTGAGGAGTTAGTTTGGGGAAAGATAAATGGCTTTGGTGATTTTTATCTGAAGTAATGTCTAATTTATATTGAAAGCATATTTGGGTTGCATAGGCTACATTTAACTTTTCAGGTCTAATGAAAACAAAACAAAACAACAAACAAAGAATTAGGGATAAAAAGTACATCTTCACTGAAACCTTTAAGAATTACCTGAGTTGGGAACAATGAGGTGACCCCCGAGAGAGTTGAAGGTGCCAAATGCAGAGCAAGATGGGTCCGTCTGCCTAGCAAGACTCTGATTCTTCAGATTGAGAGCCTCATTCTCCAGTAAGGATTGGGTCAGCTGGGGGGATAGCTTAGATGTGAACTCAGAGAGGTCATCTTGGGGCGTGACAGCACCTGAGGTATTATACACTTTGATTTTCAAGTTTGGCAATGGATCCAGAATTGGAGAATTGGTCATAGGGATTTTGTCTGAGACATCATGCAGGGCGTAGACAGGTCCTCTGTACATGGCTGCAGCTGAGGTGAGGTCTGGGGGTACTGCCAGAAGATCTGAGTTAGGAAGAGAACAGAATTCCATTTGCAATCTCCATTCAGGCAACCTACATTAGTCAGATACCCCCTCACACTCTCTGAGCCAAAAGCAAAGCAGCTCAGCTAATATTGGAGATGGACAGACTCTGTGGCTCTTTTGAAAACAGGGCAAAAGGAAAACTCACAGGCAGTTCGTTATTGTCTATAAATAAGTAACCCAGCCCATTCTATATTTTGCCTTGAAGTATAATCATTATAACTAAAGGTATCTGATTATTTCAACAGATTAAATGGAACAATAATAACACCGACAAGGTCACTATTTGGTAAGTTTCTCTTGTCTATACTGGATTTGGATTCATTTGCAACCCACTGCATTCAAAGCAATATAAGATGCCTTATCAAAGAAGGGGAAAAAGTCAGACATGGTGAAACATCCTAGCTATTGAAATGGTAGAGGTAGGATTGTGGTCCAGGCTGGCCTGGGCAAAAGTGTGAAACCCTATCTGAAAAACTAAAGCAAAAAGGCTGGGGTCAAGGCTCAAATGATAGAGTGGTTGCCTAGCAAACATGAGGCCTTGAATTCAAACCCAAGTGTTGCCCTGTCCAGAAAGGGGGAGGAGAAGATAGATAGATAGAGAGAGAGAGAGAGAGAGGCAAAAGTTATTCAATGAATCATTGTATTTTTTTTCAAATGGAAGATTAAAAATGAGGACCAAACAATCTGTCCTAAAGAAAAAAAATGATTTATGTGCTTTTTCAACTCTAATTTGTTATGTTGTAGGAATGACATCCACATAACAGATCCAGTCCAGCAATGAACAAGTCAACAATAGCACCGTCTTCATGGAACTTACATTGTAGCTGAACCAGATGACCCAAATGTTACCAACTGTGAAGCCACATGACAAAGCTGCCCACAGACATGAGTAATAGGGTGAAGTGGAGTGTCCACTGACCTTGTCTGGCTGCTTTGATGTTCACAGGTTGAAAGCCCCCATTGAGTGCTGAAGAGTCAATAATATCAGACTCAAAGTCACGATGATTCTTCCGATACACAAACAGGGCCACCACCACAGAGATGGCCAGGCAAACTATCACTGCTATCACAATCCCGACGTAGAGAGCAACATCATCTGAATCAGGAGCAGCTAGGGGGAAGAATGAAACACTGGGCAAAATGCTTATAGAAACTTTCTGCAGTACACATATTCATCACTATAATTTTTTCAGACATTTATTGCCATTTTTATAGGTTACTTTCAAATCTATTTCAAAAGCTATATAAAATAACTGTGGCCTTTCTGTGGAAAATTATCTCTGATTTCTTTTCCTTTCTCACTCTGCATCAACCCACCCACTAATCTGTTTTATAATTGGGCAGCGTAACAGACCATTTATCACTACACATATAAAGAAACTGGATCTAAAACCTCTCCCAACCCACAGGTGGAAACGTTTGGAAGGGTTTTGAATTCACTGATAGTTCTTTAAAAATCATAAACACTGCTAGAAATATTTGACATGTTTTGAATCTGTGTATTTATTGGACCAGAATGTTTTCCTAAGTATCATTCCAAGTCATAAAATTACTTTCCATAGCACTCTTCTCCCTTTCCCCTCAATAAATGAAGAGGTGGGTGGGAATGGAGCAACCAAGCAAAGCTACTGTGAGGAGCACAGATGTGGAGTTAGAAATGTGTGTGTTCAGAAGGCCAAGGTCTGGTGGGGAGGGTGGTGTGGCAAACGGTTATGCCAACCACCTTTTCTAAGCTCAAGCTTTTGATGTAGATATGGTGTTAGCTCTAAGAACCTCAAGCTACTTGTGGTCTCTTTTTGTATTTGTGCTTCTCATTACTGGAGTGAAAGGTAGCTCCTTGGTGCTCTAGGTAAAATAAAGGCCTAGCTTGATGATCAGAAAGGTCAGACTACCAAGGACAGCAAGTAAGAAGTTGACCAACACAAGCTGCTGTTCATATAGCAAAAACAGGATTCCTGTAAGTGTTACCTGTTGCCTTGGTGGCATGAAACATGTTTTGATCCGATTGGAATAAGAGGCAGAAGATGATAATTAAAACAAACTTAAAACTTTCTGAACCACCTTGACGTTGTTAAGTCTCTGTTTTTAGTTTTCTGAGACTCACAAGGAATGTTCAGCTAAATTAACCAAAGCTGTTCTCCTTGCTATAAAAGAAGTGGTTAAATTCGTACTTCAGGTGGTCAAGAACAATCTGGAATCTTATGGTCAATTTTATAAGCATGTGCATTTTGGGAGAGAAAGACTTTTCAAATTTATAGGTTCCAGGAACTCCTAAAATTTGAGGAACACCTGGTCACATAGTTTATATGGGAAAATAACTAATTGTTTTATTTGTCTGTGTTTTATTTGTTATGCTCACAGCATAACTCACATCTAAGTCATGGTATCTTTCATACACTGGGAGTATAAGTGAATTTGCCATTGGAAATTGCTCTTCGTCTTTGTAACACTTTGTGTTTAAATGTATTGTGAAAGAATTGTGCCTTCTTTAAAAAAAATTGCACTTCACAAAGTTTCTAGACTATTCACTTTCCCATCAATCAAGTCAATGTTGACAAATTTTTTTTTTTTTCTGAAAACCAATGAGGTCCCAATACTCTCTGTGTGTGAGCACTGCTTTCGAAGTGCTGACTCCACTTGGCTTCTGGGTTTTATTTGAGGCTCTGTAGCAGGATTCTGAACTCTGGTCAGGATATTATATCTAAATCCTTAATGTTTCACCTTAGCCGTAATTACTTATTCAATATTCATGATTTCTAGCACAACAGAACGCATTTTCTCAACCTTTTCCTTTTAAGTGTTTGAACTTTACCCTTTATTTATATCAGCCTATTTCATGATATGTTTTCCCATGACTGGAACTCACACTTTTAATGGTAGACTGATAGATTTTAGATCTGGCAGAGACTTGAAATGACCCTTTCTTCTCTACAACATCTAAAATCTAATTTGTTTTTCATGTTAGAATATATTAGGCTCCTATTTCCTGTGTGCACATCTGTGATCCAAAGAAAGGCAAACTTGAACTGGGGGCAATAATGTTAAATGATTATTCAGCAACATAAAATCCAAACATCAAACTTACAAGAAAATCCATATTCATTCTGGGTTCTCTGTTCAGTTGAAATAGGATAAATGAAACCTTGAAAAGAAAAAAATAATGAAACAAAAATGGGAACAAAATCAAATTAATGAAGGAAATAATGGAAAGCATGAAAGATGGTTTAATTAAAAGAAAAGAAAAGAAACCTGTGGTTCTTTAAAATTCTGGTTCAGTACAGAATTATGATTTTGCATCCTCTGTCTGCTCAGGAGCCTCACTAAGAATTAATAAGTAGGCAGATTGAATTTCAGAGCAAAAACTGGTCTCGAGTCACTAACTTTGGAGTGCTTAAAGTCTTTCTTTTATTGAGCATAAACTCTAATGGATCTAATTTATTTCAGACATCAGGGGTCATTAGCATAAGGAAAATCTTTTTTCCTTATCCCTGCCATATGCTTTAATTCCCAGGACATACTTAGAGGGCTCTAAACAGTTTTTTTCTCTCTTATTTAATCATAACAGCTTGCTCTTGGTCTAACAGAACCAAAGAAGACCTGTCGTCCTTGGTCAAAGGTTAAGTACCCATTTATTGAGCTGAGCTATGACACCTCTCCCCCTCCATCTCAAATCCACTTTTTGGATTTTCTGTTGTTTCTTGTCCCTTTAATAGGACTCCAATAGGGATTTCCCTGGGACCTAGCAGTTGGTCATTGCAATGGAAACTGGATGTTTTTTATTTGAAATCATTGAAAATGAATAGGGCCCAGAGCGTAAAAGGTTACTTATTTTAGGGCTTCACAGGAATGCTGCAAACTGGACAAAATATCCCCATCTCACCTGAAAATGCAGAAATAACACTGTAAGTTTCTTTTTCCTTTTTAGTATATTCTGAAGTAGGAAACTAATAATGACAGTAACACAATACTAGTAATGATGTAAAGTGGAGGAAGAGAGGTAGAAAACATTTAAAAATAAAATTTTTGAAATGAGAAATCTGTGGAAAATGTTTAAGTATAACCTATAACCAACACGCACAGTTCCCCAAGATTTAACACTCTACAGTACATGAATTAGTCAAATAATAGAGCACTCTTTGGATTAATCAAATGAAGAACATGAAGCATGTGAATTAAACAATCTCAGTAATACTCAAGGGCAAAAAATATAAGGAAACTGCAAGACTCAGAATTAATTGGTTCGAAATGAAAGGTCCAGGAAGCTTTCATGCTAAAAGCAACCCTAAATCAGGCCTCAGGTAGCTCTTGGGCAGTTTGCAGAACACTGAGTTCCTATTTGGGAACTAATTCTGGAGAAACATGCAGCGCTACTTTAATGAAAGAGAAGTTTGCTGGAGCACAGATAAGTTTGCTCTGAATTAATTTTTAATGCTTTATTTTAGAGCAATGATTGCAACTGCCTACTCAGTTTTATAAATATTATATTCCTTATTCCAGTTGTCTGAGTCCATGTATTAGGTTTGATTTTCATTTTTAAACATCTCTGTCTGGTAATAACCCTTTTCCATTTGTATTCTGTGAACTCAAAAAAAGGACAACAGGGACAAATGGAGCTTTTATTTAGAAACCCAAAGACTTAGGGCAGAACAAGTTCACCGGAAGAGACCAGATGTTATGCTCATGGAAGTGAGAACACCAAGTAGAAGAATGTCAAAAAACTAATTTTTTGCATGTGAGAGGGCAAGGAAATGAGTATAAAATAGAATATTTGGAAATGTTCAGACGTTCTTCTGGTAATTTCTGGTAAGCACCCACGTGGGCCTGCTTGAGTAAGCAGAAGATCAGAATCTTTAAAAAGAAAAGTCTATGTCTGGCCTAAAATCCCTCCCTGTAAAGTAGTTGTGGGTTTTCTCTGGATCATATCCCTACTTCCCAGCAGAATTTCTGTTCTTAGTGGGCAGAACAAAGAATAATAGAGAATAATTTTATAATTCCTAAGTTCAATTTTTCCATATTTATTTAGATTTGGACCACTCAATAAATATATGGTATTTTTCTGAGACTCAGATTTAATTCCAGGCATAGAATTAGAATTCATTCACTTATTCTTTTATTCGTTCAACCATGACTTTTGAAGTCTATTGTATTCTGGGTTTTGTTCTAGATCTGGGAGAGGCCTTCTTGCATTCATGGAGCTTAACATTCTAGTTTAATAAGAAATAAACAAGGAAACAGCATAAGAGATATGATCATTTTAAATACTGAACCAGTCCTCTTAAAAACAAAGTAAGAGAATATAATATGATTGGAGGAATGACCAACTTAGAGTATTAGAGAAGAATTTTTTTATTTAGACAGAATTTGAACTATAACTTAAATATGTGAAGGAATCAGGAAGTAAAGATCAGGAGGCAACAAAGTCCCATGAAGAATGACAGATAGTGCAGAAGTCCTCAGGTGAAAACAGAGCAGTTGGAGGGTAGAGAGGCAAGAAAGGAAGGAGGAAGGGTCAGAGAGTTCAGTGACGTGGTCATGAAGGCCTGAGTGATGAAGAGTTTTGATTTTATTCCAATTGAAATGCAAATCCTGTGGTTGAATCTTATTTAGAAAAAAAATGTTTTGGCTTCACTAGAGAGAACAAATTGCAAAGGGAGCAAAGTAATAGGATTTCTGTTCACACTTGGCCTGGGAGATGTCCATCAAAAAATAGGTCTATTAATATATTTGATGAAGTGTTTGTGTTTAAGGTTGTTCTAGAAAAAGTTTAAAATAATAAAGTCTTTTGCACTAGTAGTTATTCCTCACAGCCAATTAGGACCAAACTAGCCAAACTGTTATTTTCCTACAATAGCTTAACACCCCAATTTATTCTGTTTTGGAAACACTGATAAAGACTTTTGGAAGGCAACTCTGAAAACTTTTTCCATTCCTTTGCAAACTCTTCTGAGACTACACAAGTAAAACATCACTTAGGAGTCTGGGAATCAGAGAAGAAAGGAATTACTGTTCTAACCACTAAACGAGGGGAGCGCAGAATCACTTTCCAGAGTTTGTTTTTTATGCTTGTCCATCTGATCTGTCTCTCACGGAACAACAGGGGACATTTTCTTTGGCTAATGAGGTGACCCTGCTGAGAGCAATCCTAGAAAAAATGAAAAATAACATGTCTGCCTCAACACAGTGCAAAATAATTGTTTTTAGTCTCACTCCTGACAGCCTGGTTCAGAAGTTAGGGATTTTAGTTAATATCCCCACTACTTAAAGTAAAAAAGCAAAAGAGCTGCTGGCCAAAGCAGTGAAGTGCTCATAAATTTGAATTTGTGAATCACATGACTCAATTTTGCTAGCTCTGACTCTCTAGCTGTGAGAATTTGGGCAAACTAGTTTCCTTTCTCAAGGATCAGTTTTCTAATCTGTATAATGGAATATAGATACTTCCATGGCTATGAGGATAAAGGAAATGTGTAAAATGCTAGTATATTGCAAGGAATCAATAAATGACAATTATATTAATAATCATTATGGCACCATTGCAGAGCTACACTAAGATGCTGGGTTCTCAAGGGATTTTATTTGTATAGAGTTGATGCACTTATTATTTAATGAATGACCTTAGATAAATGTTTGAATTTCACCTTCCCCCATTATTACAAAAAAGAGTTCAGTTTTTTAGAGAAACATAAGGAATGCACTCTTTTCAGTACTGTGTACTCTTTTACCCTCTCTGTTGAGAGCATTTTATGCTTAGGCTTTGAGGTTTCTCACATGCTACACTGACATGTTTCAGAATCAAATTTTCAGGGCCAGAGTGAAAATTGATGCTAACTGGGTTTTTCAAGGAATGCTTTCACTTCTCAAGGTGGTATGGGGAAGGGTCAGAGGAACTATTTTTGTTTTTGGTTGTCATAATGACTGGAGGTTGTTTATGGCATGTAGTGACTGAGGGTCAAGAACGTTGAATAGCCTACGATAGAAGGAACAGAAGGAATTGTGAAGAACCACTCTGAACAAAATGCATTTCCATTGAATGTAATCTTCAGTCACTCGTCTTGGGCTGATGCAGGGGCTTGGGGAATGATGCAGTAGTCTTAGCAACTGGGACTGGAGGGAGCCAACCTCAGAGCAGGACTGAGATGGAATTGCTAATACCTTATTCTTTCTTTGTAAAAAAAAAATGTATTCTAAAGAAATTCTATTTTTTAAGAAGAGGTTTGCTTGACTTGGGGAACAAGGGACTGGAGGTCGATTATGGAGAGAAACTCGGTAAATGAATCACAAACAGTTTGCAAACAGGAGCAGGCATCTTACAGTCAATGCAATGCTCCTTTTGCCTAAAAGCCTTCTTTCTGCTCAAAATGTCACCTCAAGAGATTATCTTGTCCAACCTATTCAAATGAGGAGACTGATTTCCAAAGGTGAGAAGTGACATTTTCAAAGTTACTCAAAATGTTGAAATTGAACCAACTAAAATTGGTTTCAACCATCTTATCAGTGAAACTGACGATGTACAAATTTTACACTGACTTCCCGTCCTGGGGTGGGAGGCATTATTCATATTTGCGTTGAGTCTAGATTTTGACTATTAATATAACCACAGCCTTTTCAACCATTTTCTGGAAGATAGTGGTAGGGGACTTGTGGAAAGAGTGACTTTTTCTAATTTGCCCAAGCTCATCTATTGGACTAGGAGTGGGGCTATTGGTAGTTTTAGCTGATGTCCAACTATTATAAAAGAACAGAGCCCATGTTAAAAAGGAAAGAGAACCTCATTCATTTTTGTATTTTAGTATCACCACATTATCTTTATGTATATGGCTAATACCTAGTAATCACATAGTAATATATCTGAATGTAGCCTATTTAAGGGATTTATATTTAGGGATTCTTAGGAATAATGGCAGACTAAATGCAAATCTCCATATTCCCAAATAAAAAGTCTTTTAAAATAAACAACTAGTCTTTGAAAAAGGTTTTTATTTTTATGTGGTATGGATAGTAGATGATAGTTAAAACTGATCATGGTTTTATGATTCAGTTTTTAAAAAGATAATACAAACTTTTCATGTCATAAGTTGTAGAAAAAATATCAACTGGATATGCTGATGTAAGAAATATGATAATTTCTGAGCACCACTGGTCAGG